TTAGCGATTTTACTCTAAAACCAAGAAAGTCTAATCGATAACTACTCCATAAGAGCGTAATCCATGTATTTTTAAAACCTCGAACCGAATGAGGTAAAGTACTTTTCAAACTAATACAAAATGTTAGTGGCTATTTTCAGGAAAGAGAAAAGTGAACTGTATAACTTCCTTGTTTTGGTGGAATAAAATCGCTAACTCCAGTTTCGCTCCCTTTCTCGGAAATCGCTCACTCTTTTCTGAGAGTGTAGGAGTGCTTGCAACTGGACCGCTTCTGAACCCGAACTGCAATAGGTCAACATCGCGTTGGCGAACTGGAAGTAGCGAGGGAAAATAACGCACATGAAACGATCGTTGCTTAGCTCCAACATCGATGGAAGTGCTATCGAAGTGAACGTCACCGAGACAAAGAGACCCCGACCGAGAAAGATGAGTCCCATAGCAGAGATCCTCATCCGGAGATCCCTCACAGCAATGACGAATTCTCGAATTCCCATGTTGGGTTGGAATTGTCGAGAGTCCCCATTCCAGTTTCTCGATCTGCATCGATGCGAGTGCATTAATCACTGCCAGTTTCTGTTCGAAAGGACGAAAGGAACCCACTCACTGTTCCAAGTAGACGATGAGAACATTCGATGAGAACCAGGAATGGGAAGAGGGCGGTCAGGACGCCCTGGCTGCTCATGAGGACTGGAGACAAGAGGGTCCCCAGCTAAACCGGCTACATCACTTGGAAGAGCTCGGTGAAATTGATGGCGAATACCTCCATCATGGTTACGAGAATCGGCTATAAGAATACGTCAGTCACTTCGTCAGTTAAGGCTCAGATTCGCGCGTACCTTTCTCTGCATGCGGACAACACGGTGACGATTGGTTCACTTCGTACCGGGTGAATCGTATGTGATCTTACTGCAATTCCGCCAGTGCCTCTTCTTTCAATTTTCCTTTGGGAAGGTGGAGGTCTTCGATGATGTCTCGAACAAAGGACGCGACCCTTACGAAAAATCCACACATATGGACTACCCTAAGTTCACCGGAGGATTTGGATGAATCCACATGTGATTCACATGTGGATTAAGAAGATCCACAGAGTCCACACTTATGTCCACATCAGTCCACAACAGTCCACATCAGTCCACAACAGTCCACAACAGTCCACATCAGTCCACAACAGTCCACATCAAGTCCACACTATTCCACATGGCTAACTGTCAGTCCACATGCGGATGCCCCAGAGGATTTGGATAGTCCCCTGGTGGACTACAGGAGGATTTTTCGTAAGGGGAATCGAAAGAGGCGTGCCAAGGAAACCATCACGATCCCTGATGCTGATCCCGGGTATCAGCATCTTGAATCCAATGAGCGAGTAGATAGTGGAGTGCAAAACGTCGACAACGACGAAGACGAGAAGAGGAAGTGCGAACTCCGTAATGCACTTCAGCGGTTTTTTACGGCGTCCATCACTATGAAGATCGCCGCAACCCGTGAACCAGGGTAAAGAAAAAAGGTAACGACGACGCCGGCGTATATACGGGGACTGAGGTTTGTAAAGTGGCGAGCAGTAAACTGAAGGAACGGCTCTCTTTGAGTAGGAATTCAATATTGTTCCAAAGCGTGCTCAAGAGGGTGACTACAACATAAAAGAGGAATCCCATGGAATAGAATAAGGGGAACAACACCACGTGGAACCGGAGCTCCGAGCCTAACATTCCAATGAAGGGGAAACATCCGCCCAGGAAAAAAAAAGGACGGAAGTGGCCCGGAACTTGTCCGAGAACTTTTCACCCATCTTGCTCTCTCCCAGCACCATATGAAGCATCATAGCTGGATTGAACGCGACGGGGCAATGGGAATTATTCTCATTGATGCACCACTTCTTTCATAACCAATAGTTTTCCGCGTAGGTTCATTCCATTACTGGGATTGGATAAGTCCGCCTGCATTAATGCGAAACTCAATTGTTAAATTAATTATGGAATATAAGAAATTAGAGTGCCTACTTCCCGTCCCAAGTAATCCCGTTGAATGGGTGGCTGTAAACCTGCGCAGTTTTTGCATCCACTAATAGAGGAAATAAATGCACAAAGGAATTTAATGTGGCAGATGCCATGAAAAACCATCATATAAATTTGAAGGTAGAAGAATTTGCTTCCCATTTCATGCGAGTTCCTTGCAAGGATTTCAGTGACATTTTCCTAATTTGTATCGATGAAAAATATCGCCTCTTCTTTGAGGTTTCATCATCATTGTGACCTCTCTTAAAGTCTTATAGTCTTGCAAAAACTTCCCTACCAGAGATTCGAAGTCCGGCGGTTCCGCCTCGTCCGCCGCGTGGATCCCGCACGAGAATACGATACGCCATCTGTCCGAGAGGACGGAAAGTCTATCGAATATTGCCGATCATGCTGGACGTAGGGCTGCAACCACGCTACGTCGATGGACACGCATCTCCGGAAATCCATCGCATAACGGATTCAAGTCAATGTAAAATAGCAATAGAATTCAAAGCCTCTGGACGAGTGAAAACCATAAGCTTGAAGGAATCTGCAGTGATTGGCTATGCAGTCTCGAATTCAATTCATGAAATATTAAAGGCTTCATTTCCGAATTTTGATTCTACGGTGATCCCAAATAAAGGACCTGAGCAAATAAAATCAGCGGATCGTGCAAGTCCGTCAGCGAGGCCTTACATTCTAATGAATTAATACGAAGAAAATTAATTTCTAAGGCTTTTTCTCATTCCTCCCCGCTTCAGAGCGGATGAACCAATCATCCAATTGATATGCCGTTACCTCGAGCATCGAAAGTGGAGCATCGACTCGCGCCTAACGAAGCCGAGAAGCGCCGTCCCTATGCCCCACACGAGGTTCGACCACTTGAGCTGGAATGACCCGCAATGATTCCCGCATTTCGCATTTAATTCATACTTGAATTTTATACTCGTGTCATGTTCCTCAGGTTTTTGAAATATTAAGGGTCATTCTCGATCAGGCTCTATTGTTTTCCCTGTGAGTTTCCATACCTGATCTCAAGTGATTGCATGAAACACCCACGTGCCGTACGCGTACCGGGTTTCATGATTAGAGATGTCGCACGTGCATGAGACCAACCCAGAAAAATATACCTTAGGTTAATACTCCATGGAGAGTGGCTAATAGTCCATGACTGCTGGCTGGGAGATAACTTCACCATTCATGAGGCAGGTATGCGTTTTACCATTTAGCTACTTCTGTGAGGAATGACTGATTTTTATGAAGTCGATGTGGCGAAATTTCCATAACAACTTGCCCTGCGTATTCACTCGTTACGCTAGTCTGTGTTACCACACATGCGGTCCTGCAATCGATTTCAACTTGTAGATGACGGAAGTTAGTGGGCGAATGAGTATTCCGAGTATTCATATCATGTGTCACACCCTGCATAGACGTTTACCTAAAAAAAAACGTCATCATTAGATTAAAGAAGAAGTCTTTCTATTCCTCTCGGCCATGGTCTCGGAGGGCTTCCCAGCCATCCACGTCAACCGCAACAGCCACGAGAGCCGAAAAAGGTTCCTCGACAACCGTCCGAAACAAACCAGACCACATCCTGTGTTTTTCCTCTGGTACTTCAGGGGAATCCGATCGTCCATGGATGCAAGACGCCCTGGATGCATGATCGAATCCTTCGTTTCTTGGGAAATTTGCTGAATGCAAGGATAAAATTGCTTCAACACCTCCATCCGCGGCTCTACGAAGAATTCTGCATAGCTAGGGATCTCCATCATGCCCATCGATTTCTCTCCACGAAATGAACCTGACGACTCAAGTTAAGTCCCAGAGATCCGATACATATGAATTGATAATTGGATCACCAGATGACTTTGTTTTCATTTGTATTTTCAGCAAATTACGGGCATGACATACATTTAAAAAGATTTTCATGGCTTCTTCGATACTACAGTGAAAACTCGTTAACTCGAACTTTTAGGGACCGGACTCG